GCAAAACAGACCTTATGGCTCGTTCATGCTTTTCAAGAGGGTTAGCCTGCCCTCGGGCAAGCATGTGCCTTGCGCCGCGTTCGTGTTGCAAGATTTGCTTCGTGGCGTCTCCGCTTGCAAGTTTGCCTTGCTTCGCGCCGTGTCCGTATAAGATTTTGCTCCTCGCTAATTTGAACAAAAACTACACAGCTTGTGAGACTTCTTTTTGACAAAAGGGAGTTGTGACGTTGCATCTGGAGCGTCATGGCTGCGAGGTCGAGGGTGGGTCCCGGAGGTCCCGAGGTCCCGGAGGTGCCGAGGTCCCGGAGGTCCCCAGGTCGGCACAATGCGACATCAGGTCCTCATAGAAGAACTTTATCGGCTTCTAGCTGGCTCCAAACCTCTGCCTCGGACACGGCATGAGGAATTGCAGGAGATGTGACTTCTCAGAACCTCCCGGTGCTGTGACCTCTAACCATGTTCCGGAGATGTGCTCTGGGTGGTGTTGGCAACCGCGAGCAGGAACGAGAGCTTCGGCAACGACAAAGGTTGCCGTTAGTTTCCGAGGGACCTCTACCTGTGTCCTTTTCTGGTGTCCAATTTTCGGGTGCGCCTAATATTTAAGAGAAGGTGTGGTGTTCGAGGCAAACGCCTGAAAATTCAGAGATAGACATTGCTGGAGGGGTCAGACTTCTCATTGCAGCCCATCGCAGCAGCTTTGGCTGCAGCTTTGTTCGATATCGGCGCAAACATCCTCTTCACCCGCCGGCCCGGCTCGATTTGCATCGGATCTCGAACGAGAAGCTGATTGAACTTTCGGGTATGTCGGGAGAGATACCACAGACATAGACATAAATAAGTATGTATGTATATATATATATAAAGATAGATAGATATTATAGAGATATAGGACCCACCCTAGCGGCCGCCAGGTGCGACCCATGCCGCGGTGGCCGGCGATGCCCAGCTCCTGCAGAGGCCGAGGGCAACGCTGGGTTTAACGGAGTTGTCAGTTTTAAACGCAGACAAGTCTGCACCTGTATAGGTGTGTGTCTGTGTGTGTGTGCATATGTGTGTGTGTACAAAACATGTACATGTTAAGGTTTGCGAATTTAAGCGATTCGAGTCGATGTTTATATACTGCATGTATGACATATACATGTGCAAAGAAGGCCCAGGTGATGCTGTTCAAAGTGTTGCACATGAGTGGTCGTATCACAGAGCGCATATGCCCTGCAGCATTTTACGGAGTCGCTTTATGTTGATTGAGCTCGACCCGGGTCGCTTGCGCGGCCATGGGGAAAAAATCTTTCGTTGATGGGCCGGCCTTAACCTCCATCGTCGCAGCCGCGATGCCCTGCCCATGGTCGGGGCTGGACTTGGTCAAAGACAGGCTGGCGAAAGGCCAACGACTTCTTGAAGGAAACGAAAGTAAGTCTCCAATCGGCGATGTTCATCCTAGTTTGGAGAACATTGAGCGGAACGCCGGAATCCTCCGGCCATTGGTGGAGAGGATGAAATCGATGAAGAGAATGAGCGCTTGGCCCATCGAGACTTATTCGGTGCTTTGCGTTGCATTTTACGACGGGCACAAAGAGTGCTATATGGGACGCAAGGGCAACGAGAGTTTCAATCCGGAGTCGTGGGGATTTCAGCAGGCTTGGGCGATGCATAAGATGATCTCTGCTCTGAGAACGAAAGCGATGCGGGACGAGATTCCCCGTGAGCTCAGTCTAGAGTTAGCAAATCGTATGTTCTGCTTTGACGTCTCGTTAGTTCAACATAATTCATGCAGGATGTTTGAATATATGAGGGCATCGTTGCGCCGAGGACGCGGCATCAGCGGAGCTGGTGAACTTGCTGCGTGATGCCAAGAGGCTTCGTCTTCAGGAGCTCACATTAAAGCACTTTTCTTCACCTGCCTGGTACAAGTACAGCTGCAATAAGCTTTATATGTTGGTGTATATACCTCATGACACGAAATTCTGCATACAATGATTGTGCGTATTAGAACTATAGCAGCACGTGCAATGCAGAACTAGATCACCCAATGTCAGAGGGAAGCCCATATGCAGTCACCGGATCCCTAAGCGCGCAGGAGATCAAGGAGGAGACCGAGCGGGATTACCCGATGCAGTCTGAAGGCTCGGAACATGACGATGGCGACGGTGAGCACGAGGAGTGCGATGATGATGATGGTGATGCTGTCATGGTCGACTCACCGGACATGGATGTGTTTGAAGCCTTCGGGCTTCTGGGTGACACTTTGGTTGAAGGATTGGCACAGCTTCTGGAGTTGTGGGGGGTTTTGGCAGGGACACTGTCATGGTTCGATGTGCGTATGTATATACGCAGGCATAAAATTTTCGATGGTATATTAGTATTAAACCTCGATCGATGTAAGTCCCTATATATTTTTCCCCTTACGCTGTCAGGACACAGTGCCCGGTGCACCGGGCGATGCTCCTGCAGACCATTCGGAGGCGGGTCCCCCGTTGAGGGTGGAGGCCTCGGAGGTGGGTCCCTTGGTGAGGGTGGAGGCCTCGGCGGCTGGATTTGCTGATGTTGAGATGATCGCCGACTCACCGGAGCCAGTAGTGGCATCCTCTGCAGGACGGGTGAAGCCCCATCTCCTTGAAGGCTTGAAGCCTCACATGCTGCAGATGTTGCTGGAGTCCGCTGAGCGCAAGATGGCCTCAACCTCCTCCTCTGCGGCCTCTTCCGGCCGCAAGCCGACAGAAGTTGCCAGCGGGTTGAAGGATGTTGACATGCTCCGGTCAACATTGTCGTGGCCTTATTGTGCGCACATGTGAGCTCCAATTTAAGGGGCACAAATGTAGTGGTGATGACAGCTCGAAAGGCAGATTGTCAGTGTGCGTGGCCGATGGTGGATTTGTCGTCATTGCTCTGTTGGTTGGATTCCCAAACTTTGTCGAGACATGCAACCGTCTCTACTGTATACGTATCTATCTATGATCTATCTAGCTATCTGTCTATCTATCTATCTATCTATGTATCTATGTCTAGATCTGCATGTGCTTGTTTTTTTGTGTATGTATGTATGTATGTATGTATGTATGTATGTATGTATGTATGTATGTAGTATGTATGCATGCATG